GTTATGAGGAGCGCCCCTATCATTTTCTTTCTTCTCCCTCTTTGCCCTGAATTTGCTAATATATCCCACCAGTCAGAGATGTGTTGATATTGTGACTGATTTGGAACCTGTGTAAGGCCTAACCAACTGCAAATCTGGTTCCAAACTGAAATTGTGAAGCTGCACTCTTTTGCTAAATGATTTGTGTCTTCAAAAGCATCAGTGCAAAGACTGCAAATCCAGTCACATGGTCAATGCCGGATTAGAAGATTATCTGCTGTGAGAATTTTCTGGTGTAAGATTAGCCAGCCAAGAAAACGCTGCTTTGGCTCTGCTTCAGCTATCCAAAGGGGTTGGAAATTTGTGCTGATAATGGTACCTTGGAACTGTGCTTCATAGGCGCTTTTTGCTGTATAAATTCCATTCTGAGTCCATTTCCGAGGTATTGGCTTGCAGATTAATCTCTTGCAATAGACTGCCGAGGTGAACCAATTCATTGATTTCGCTTATTGTGGTGATTGGCCTTAGCGAAGTAATCCAGTGATTACCCTCCATCTCAAAATGTATACAATTAGCTTTTCTTTTTGCTAATCTGAAAATTGCCGGTGCTATGTCTTTGGGTGCGCATCCTGATAGCCAATTATCTTGCCAAAAACAACACTTCTTTCCATTTCCCAGGGAAATTTTTGTGCTTGCCCTAAATAATTTTTTGTCAATCTCATCACATGGGGTTTCCATGTTAAACCAGGGCTTACTTTCATCTTTCCATTCAAACCAAAGCCAGCGTAATCTCAAGGCCCTTGCAAATTTTTCCAAATTCAGAATTCCTAGACCTCCCAAAGATTTGGGTCTACATCCTTTTCACTTTGAGCTAGCTATTTTTACAAAAATTGCACTTCGATCAGGTGTACCACATGTCAATGAGACTATGGTTTCATGCCTTACTTACACTAGTAATCTGCCCGTGCTAACGCTACGGAAATATTTAGTAATACAAATCAAACAACCAAAATAAGATATATGTTTTGCCAAGCATATAATGAGATAGAATTTATAGTAACGTGCATGCGTACAACACATTATTTACAATATGTATAAGAAAAATAATTACATTCAAGATATAAAAATAAGATATAGGACAAAGCGAATTCATACTTTAATTTCATTTCTAAGTTCAATTGCAAACAACATACATCAAATTTAGAAAATGTTTCCTACTTAAGGAAAACAAACTTCACAAAAAGATTTACCATGATACATCTTGATTTGTCATGTAAATCATCACTTTTTGCCATATCCATGCACATGGGCCAAATTAATTAAACTGAGGTTTTCCTTGTCATGGAGCTTGTGAAGCGCATAAGCACAATTAGATCACAAAGAACTACTTCACAATGCGGCTCAATAGACAATAACATACTCCCTCCGTTTCACAATGCAAGTCATTCTAGCATTTCCCATATTCATATTGATGTTAATGAATCTAGACATATATATCTCTCTAGATTCATTAACATCAATATGAATGTGGGGAATGCTAGAATGACTTATATTGTGAAACGGAGAAAGTATATGACAAACGCTGGTGCCCAGGGTAATCCGGCTAGCTCCACAGGGTGGTGGGCTAGAAGCCTCACCACTTCTAATTATTTGATATTAGGTCCTACCCTAATATCCGCATCTTTTTGACAATAACATATCAAAGCCATAATATTCGCGTCTTTTGACAATAACATATCAAAGGTAGCTTTGCCGGTGTTTCATCGCTATGCTCTCCCATCAACTCCATTCATCGTAGATATAACTTCGTTCTCCATGAGCTTTACAGTATACAATAAATAGGATATAGATTCCAAAATACTAAGCATGAGAACCCCATCATATAAATGACACCAAAATCTTAGTATATCAAATAAGTGTCAACTGTGCCAATTCGAACAGCTTCTCCATGGTCTCACCAGTCGCACACTGCATTGAGTAATCCAGAGATATGCCTTAATACTTTCTGTCAACCAACAAGTACGTTAGCAATGAAAGTAGAAACTCACACAAGCAACAACAGGAATTTAAACCCTTACATTGTCATTTCCTAGCAGCGCTCGACATCATCCATCAGATCATACATGTTTTTTTTTTCTGTAAATCGGACCAATGTAAGCCTGCTCCTCGCATGTGTTACAAAATGCCAAACCATAGTGAGCCTGAAATCCATATTATCCATTTACTTTGATATCTGAAATCACCATGCCAGGGTTTTGAATCAAATTAACATATTAGAATCATGTGAATTAAGCCAGGGACTCCATGCAAGAGGTAATGGTTAAACCGGCAAGAGTTAAAATATTTTGATTAACACATGACTTTAGCTAATTGTGACAAAGAATGACATAAAACAAATATCAATTTTTGATTTCTTTCATGATATTGAAGTATATTAATTGAAGGGATGATATATATTTATAGGACACTTAGGGCTTGATCGGCAAGCATAGATTTCTGAGGGGAGATTCCCTCCCACCACCCAATTGCCCTCCACTGTGGGATTGTGATTGTTTGGATAACAGGGAGAGGCGGGGATATTGTCTCACATCAAATTCAGAATTTAAATAGGACTCATGCATTATAGAAGTCTGGCCAAAGTTTCAATATCCTCAAATTACAGAAATAATTTGCAACGCAAAATAAAATGCATGGTATTAAGTAATCATGGTGGCTAGACCCTTCCAATAATCGTTGACTGTTGTTGGTCACAATTGAGCTGCCGCTAGCCCCAAGCATTATGCCCATTCGAACCATTTTCATGTTATTATGGTTAGACTAATGTATATGCTGCCATAGATGCCATTGCGTGCAGCTATGAAAAAGCTCTGTAACCAAATATCAACTAAATAATCAATGCAGCAAATTGAACTGTGGAAGAGATTAATCATCACCTAGAACCAAACCTGTTAGAGATTAATTGATCGGGAGGGAGGCGGGGAGCCGTTGGATCGTCGTCATCAGAAACTCTATACTCTATAGAAGCACTCCAAAAATATTCAAATCTTATCGGAAAGCACTCCAAAACTTCCGTGTTCATATCCCTATGTAAGGACCACAGAAAAGTGCAGTTGTTGACTCTGCTCTCCTAAAAATCCCACTTTACTTCAACTTCCTTTTTCAAAGTGGCTAGAAGGTTAAATCCAGGCACCTCAAAAGAAATTAACCAATACATGAGATATAATAAAAGGATTAGGTTGTGGTCACAGTAGTAATCTGACTGTGAGAAATGAGTCATGCAAAAAAGGATGAAGGATTAGTGCTAAAACATGGCAACAATAAGGCAGCACTAACCTGAGAAATATCAAGAGCCTTTCTTCCACTTCATCAGAAAAAGGATTAGTGTAACAATTTATGGGGAATATTGTCAATAGGAAACAACTTACTAAAATTCTGCATGAAAACAATTTAGTTCCTTTCCATCAATTTGTGAAACAGTTCAAGAACAGCATATCGAAAGCCTGTTTAGAAGAAGCATATATATATTAGTCAAAGTAGGGCAATACCTTTCAGAAAATACGAAAAGTTCAAACCTTTTTCCAATGCCAAAAGGTTCAAACCTGTAGGAAAGGCAAAAACATGAGAAGGATTCACATAGTATTGTGGTAAAAATTATGCTCATCCTGCATCAGGGCGTCCACCATCGTATAGAGAGTATAGTAGCTGGAGCTACTATTACCTTAAATACATATGCAGCAAACCACCACGAACAAGTTTGATTATTTTGTTTGAAGTCATTCCACAAACACTTCCGAAGCACTTCTTGGTACTGTTGCAGATGCAGTGATGCAAACAATCATCTCGGACTTATTTGGGCTAGGGAAAGAGTCCAAGCTGTGCACTGATTTTTATCTCGTGTTCTAATCAAAACAAATGAAAAACTGAGCCATGCTCGGGCCAAGACAATGAAGATATACCAATCAATCAGGGAGCAGCAAATCGAAATGCTCACGTGTGTTACTTGCCTCCATGTGTTTTGGCCGCCGTAGGTGGACACCTCCCATTCTTGGATGGCTGCGAGCTCGTCCGTTCCGGTTGTCACGTCGGCGCTGGGAGTCTTGCCAGCGACCGTGGTGGTAGGAGACTGGGGGAGTGGGCGGCCATCTGGCTGCGTACAACCAAAGGGTTCAGGGACAGCCGTCGGTCGAGGTGAATCTGGGATGGCCGCCGGTGAAGGCGATCCGATCTGGATCGGATCGGGAGGGAGGCGCGATAGAAAGAGGAGGGAGGGCGCGGTGATTTTGCTGGGGGAGGGGAGGCGAGGATCGGATCGGGAGGGAGGCGGGGAGCCGTTGGATCGACGTCATCAGATGATTTTCGATCGTTGGATGTGTCACACGATGAATGAGTAAAACCATTTGTTGAACTATAGGGTAGATGTGGGCCATCTGGTACAAAGTGCAATATTTGAAAACAATATCTAGTCTAAAGTGAAAAAACACTTCGATAAACACAATGTCTATGCTAGTTCGAGTCTTTGACTTAGCACGAATGCTCATATTTTAGTGGTGGACTACGTATTCATCGATAATGAGATATCTCAACATATATCGGCTTAGTCTTTAGTAATTAGTACAGGTTCGTCGAGGTAGGTGTAGATATGTGCATTTATAGATGTAAGTGTATGCGTGTGTGTATATAGTTATATGTGTTTGTGCTATGTATTAAAATAAGAATACTTCGGCTGCAGTGTTCAAAATGACCTGACAAAATTGATACATCTGTTCATTAATATGACATCAAACAAAGATATAAAATCATTTCCAACGTTACACTGGAGAATTCACAAGATTATATATAAATGAATGAATAAAAAAATGTTTGGAAAACAAAAAAAATTCTTCCGTCTGTAGCGCCGCCTCCGTTTTTGTATACCCCAGTAGTGTAGTGTAGTGTAGTGTGAGCCCCCCCACAGCCAGCGAGCGACGCACGCATTCCTCCCTTCTCTCCCTTCCCTTCCCCCCACAAAACCCTCCCACAAATCCCTCTCTCTCTCTCTCTCTCCCCCCACCTCCGCTTCCTCTCTCTCCTCTCTCTCTCTCTCTCTCTCTCTCCTCCTTTCCCCCTCCTTCCCCTTCCTTCCTTCCTTCCTCCCTCCGCCCTGCTCCTCTCTCGGGATTCGCCTCCGTTCATCCGCCCGTGCGGGAGAGCCTAGCGGAGCAGAAGCAGGCGCGCGCGGCGGCAGCGGCGGCGGCGAGGAGTAGGAGGAGGAGGAAGGCGAGGACGAGGGCGAGGACGAGGACGAGGAGGGAGGATATGGCGGCGGCTAGGGTTTCGATCCCGGCGGCGGTGCGGCGGACGATCCAGAACATCAAGGAGATCGCGGGCGGCCACACCGACGAGGAGGTCTACGCCGTGCTCCGCGAATGCAACATGGATCCCAACGAGACCACCGATAGGCTTCTCAACCAAGGTAAAATCCCAAATCCTCCCCCCATTTCTCCCTCCCTCTCAATCCTAGTTTGATTTGATTCGGTTCGGTTCTGTTGGTTCCACTGGTAAAACTTAGCCTTGGCTTGTGGGGGGGTGGGGGGGGGGGGGAGGGGACGATGCGATGCGTGATAGGTCTCTCTTGTGGCGCGCCCGTGCCTGATTTGATGCGTGCATGGTTTGATTTAGGGTTCTAGAGTCTGCGCCGCTCTTCTTCCGGTCTTCCTTGCTTTGTTTGATTCAAGAGTGAGCGCAAGAATGTTTTCTATAATCAATTGGGGTTTACAGAGAGTGTGGTGTGCTGGAGGTTAAGTTGTGTGGTTCATGCCTCCTGTTGGATCCGGCTTGGTATCGTGACTGCTTCAGTTTGTTATGCCCCATGGGAGCTACGTATTTACTTGTTGGTTGTGTCTTATTTGGAGTGAAAGGATATGCTCAAGGATAATCCTTCTGGATGCTGCTGCTTGGATCTGAAGTAATTACAAATTTTATGAACTGAGGGACATCGTTGCTTTTGGTTTCGTTCTGTAGTTGCACTGTACGGCTGGTGGTTTCACTGTAGGCGCAGTGGTTTCTATAGGATGGATGCTTCCACCTTTGCAACATGGAACTTCTAGTGCTACCTGTAGTGAAAATTTGAAGTTGATGCACAAATGTTTGTGTGGAAATTGAAGCCGAATGGCCTACCAAAATAAAGATGCCATACATGTAAATCAAACTAAACTTGGATAGAATCATACTGTTCTGGAGTATGAAGCACAAAATTTCATTGGTCCTACTTGATATTCATTTTATAACTGATGTTAATTATTGTTTTGACCCCGAGAATGCATTTCGACAATGGAAAAAAATACTAATGTCCAAACAACACCTCTACATGCTCATTACGGTATTTACACTTGAGATCTGCAAAAGATGAATTCTCATGTTTTCATGATTTAATGTGTGATCATCCAGGTACACATTCGTGACTAGGCGTCTATTCATAACCTATCTTGAGTAGTACTTCCTTTTTCAAAAGATAACCCAAACCCATGTGAAGCATAGAACAGTGATCTGTTTTTAATAGCAGTGGATTTTATGATAACCTAATTTCGTTCTGAACCAAATTTTGATATATTGGTATTAGGATAGCCCTTCTTTAAACCATATTGCAATTTACAAATGATATTACTTCATCCTAGCATCGGAATACTCCGTGGGAATGCGAGAGCTACAACCATGAGCTGTGTAATTTTTGAATGTCATTCAGATTAGCTGAATAGGCTCCATAAGAACTTTAAAGAAAAGCATTGCATTGAGCATCAAAGGCCAAATGTGTTACATGGTTTTGAGAAACTTAATGTTGGTTCATAGCATTTTATTTCATCTTTTTTGTTTTTGTAACATGGTATGTTCTTCCCGATTAAGAGACTTTGGATTTACACCTAGTCTTATAGATACCTTAGCTAATGGGTCATGGTTGACTTCTTTGGAGTGGCTGGAGTACTGGAGTTTATCTCAAAGATAGCTTTAAAGATTAAAGAGATCCAGCATCCTTTTTATGGTCAAGATGATCAGGATTTATTCATCATGACATGACTTTGACCCATGCCTAGTTAGTGGTGTTAGCATCAACTTCACTATTTTTTTTTAATCTTTATGCGTTACTCCACCAAAGCTTAAATTCTAGCCCTTTCACCATAAGAGAACCTTGTCTTTATATGTAGAGAATGGATCTTTCTTATGTCATATTCCCTGGAGATTGTGTTGAGGTAAACAGCATTTATGGACTGTTTGAGGTATCCCTTTTGTGCTTAACTGCATGCATTTTGCTAACGTTTCCCCCCTTTTTTATGTTAGGCACATTCTATGGAAGATGCTTGATTTTACCAAACCTTTTAATCAAATATTCACTTATTTCAGGTACATTCCATGAGGTCAGAAGAAAGAGAGACAAGAAAAAGGAGGCAAGTATCATATCCTCCCCTCTCCCTTGCTTCTGTTGCTTTTTCTTTATCTTTATTTCATAAAGTTAAGTACTGGTGCAAATTATGTGTGAATTCAAAAATTAGATTTCATGTGAGAACATGTGGCCTGGTCCCAGTTAAATCAATGGCACATGAATGATGTTTTCCAACTTTGTGATCTTTGCAATGTACCCAAGCACTTACTTTTTTTTTTTTTTCAAAATTAGACCTGCTATAGATATGTAAGTTCCAAATGGGTGGTCAGACTTGTGTTAGGTATATCTGGTCAGACACATTAGGTTGAGTCATATGCAAATGTAATTGATGTGCAAAGCTATGAGATGGAAACACCGTTAGAAGATGTTCAAGTGATATGACATGCTGGTGATGATAAAAGTTAGTTTGAGATCAGTATCAAATCGGCCAGCAGGACATGATTTGCAGGATACATACATCATATATTGAACATGTCAGAAAAAAACGAATACATATATGCTAATGATTGGCAACATGATATTTGTTAGACTACAAATTTGACACAACTAATTCTACCTAAGCTTTGGATATGGTTGAAAGAGTCTCCATAGCAATGTTGTTCAACGCAAATTTTTCTTATCATGTTGAATCTTTCTGTTCTTGTTCTCCTGATATGCATTCTGATTCTGACTTTCTTTTATTCTTGAGAAAGGAATCCTAAAATCTCGTCCCCTCTTTAAATACATTATTAATCAGTTATATTGGTTCATTGCCAATTCTAATTGCCACAATTATAGAATGCCATATAATCAATTGGGACATTTTTGTTTAAGTAACTTTCTGTTCTAAAGTGCCTGAATGTGTATTTTCCTGCTTTCTTGTATAGAGTGCCAAAGAATCTGCCGATGCTCGATGGAGGCCTGGGATGCAGGGGCGAGGTGGAAAAGGTGGATGGGGAAACTCTTCACGCCAGCTATCCAACTCCTCTGGTATGCATGGCATCTGTCTTCAAAAATGGAAGTGCTCTATCAAACCTATACTACATGTGGCATCCGTGTTGTGATACACTATGAGCAGCTCATGTTGCATTCTTGTAATCTTGTTTAATTTAAAGAGTGGTTTCTCTTTGATATCTGATGGATTTTGTAATATGTAGAACTGCCTGCTCATTATATGAATGTTACTGCCATTTGATTTTCTCCAACTTCTCAAATGCTTGAGTAGATATAAGAGCTTAGTATATTGAATCAACTGGGGTTAAGTATCCTCTTGACATTTATAGCCACATGTTTTGTACCCACTTCAAGAGTAGCCTTTTAGTGAAACTTTATAACCATTTCATGTTTTATTCTGTGATACTTCAGACATAACTGGGAGAAATGCTCCTGCTGAAAAGGAAATTGGAGTGAATCCAAACATGGACAAATGTAACAGCTCTGTACCTGTCAATCCAAACACAGACACCAAGACGTCTACTTCGATCTCAAGGTATTTATAGTGCAAAAGATCTTCAGTCACATGATTATTGTTTTCTTTTTACTAAATCCTGTTAACCTTGAGTCCCCTTTTTTTTTGGTATTTACATGCTGGTAAGGTATTTTTTTATTACTCATATTGGAAAGGATGTTAATTGGCCGGAGTTATTTGTTAATTGATTTTTATTCTTATTTGGATGTGGATTGTAGATGTTTTTCTTGACAAGATCATGTTTCTGCTTTACACTCCCATTTTTGGCTGGGTTCTTTGAGTGAAACCCATACCAAACTGTACTGCTAGTAGTATCTTTGTTGTGTATGTTCAGAAGCACTGTTTGTAGGTTACTTTCATGTGCTTTCTTGAAACATACATGTATTTTCTGGATTCCAACGAAAAAGTAGAACATATGTGTGTATCTATTTATTCTTAAAACAGTGTGCCATGTGTAGTGTAGATTTATGTTATTCAGCTGCAGCAGAACATCAGTACGATGCTGTTCTTTTTTTCTTTTGGGAGGAATGATTAAGGAGCTGTAGTTTTGTGTCCTAGTATATGATTATGTTAGAAAATTGTAAAATGCTAAGAGGAATAGACCACCTAAATTTATGAATTGCTAGTTTTCTACATTGTATTCCAGTGGAGAGTATTTAGAGCAGGTACAATAGCAGGCTATAAGCCAGCTATAAACATATTTTAAAGAGATAAAAGGAAAAGAGAGAAGAGTAGCAGGCTACAGATCTGCAGCCAGCTGCAGCACGGACTCCAAGACATAATGTGTGTATGACAGGTGGGACCAGCTATTAATAGTATAGTAAGCAACTATTGTATGAATTAGCTATTACATTGGCTATAGATGATTTGGAGCTAGTAGTGGGCTATACTATTAAACTTGCTCTTATATTTCTTTTATTCTGATCTGGAGCATAGTGCAAAAAACCGGACCGGTGAGTAACCCGGACGATGCCTCGGTTCACCGGTCCGACGGTCTGACCGGTGAACCGCCGGTTGAACCGCGGTTCAATAAGTTATTATATATAACATGTATATCTCTAAAACAAAACGAAGCAAAGGTGGGATGGTTAGACCTACTCACTCTCAATGCGCATACCCAGGTTCGAATCCCCATTCCACCACCCTTTTCTATGCATTTTGTCAAAAAAACAGTCACGTGGGCCTGTAGGGCATGGACTGGGCCTTAACGTGGCCCATTAAACTCCTTAACTCCTTTGTCCGGTCCAACTGAGCCGGTTTAATGGCCGGTTTAGTCAAAACCCGCCCGGTTCAGCCGGTTCAATCCGGGTCGAATGCATGTCTGGTCTTTCAGTTGAACCGAACCGTGGAGGCCTCTGGTTCCGGTTTTTTCCGGTCGAACCGCCGGCCCGGTCCGGTTTTTTCCACTATGATCTGGAGTTTAACCAGAATTTGTGGCTTGATGTAAATATTTTTTTTTTACCGATGCTGTTTGACTGCATAGCCATTCTTCATTTACAACTTAGTTTCTTTGATTTACATTGTTTGATGGTTTCTTGGATCATTTGGTATTTGGAGTTTGCCAAATGGATAAAACATTGAGGTCCACTTATTTCAGTATTAGCTTATCCAATTAAAATGCACCTGTTTGGACATGCAACTGACTTCTTTACCAGTTTGTCAGTTGGCCAATCCAATGGTTCATCAGAGCCTGTTGCTTCCATGGAGAAAAGTTCTCTTGCTATAGGTCAGTTGCAGATTTCAGATTCAAAAGGAATATCTGATTTGGAAGGTAATCCAGAAAAGCTTGTCAATGGCTTAGGTCCAGATGTAAGACTATCTTTAATACAGTCAGCACCATCTATATCAGGGGAGTGCATACCAGCTTTGGACCCAGTGCTTACACCAGCCCCTGAAGTCCACGGCCACGGTGAGACTGTTTCCACCAAACATGCTTATGCAAGTCAGTTGGCAGCAGGAGAAAAGGTGGTTTCTAATGATGTATCAACGGCTTCACAAGGTACAATATTTGAGTTGGGAGTCTTGGGACTCTTTGGTTAGTGTTGTCATGTTTTTAACACCTTTTCATACTCTAGGCACATCTCGATCTTCTGGTTTGTCATCCACTGTGGTACCTTCTGGTAGTAGGCCATCTTCAAGCTGCAGTAGTCGTGCACAGCAGTTGAGCAGTGTACAGAAAGGTACTTGTCATTCTGAACTTCTAAATTTGGGTCCAATCCTTTGCACGTCACTGAAGCAAATGATATGTTGATGTCACTGTGTAGATTTTTATGATTGTTACCTTGCAATTGATGTTTGACCTTCCAAATGCGACACTAGGGCAAATGCATTATATCTGCTGCTGCTATTGAGCAGATAGCGGCTGCTACATGGCATTTAATATGTTAATATTCTGTGTTAGATTATTAATTGGACGTTTGGACATGTCATCAGGTTTTCACAATCATCAGTTCTAATGATTATAAAGTATAAAAGTTACCTTAGTAGACATTCAAAGCCTTCAAAACACGCATGGGGATTAGAGATGGCAATGGGAACCCATGACCCGACACCCGACGGGTTTTTACTCTATTATATGGGTATGGGTACCCGTTACCCGCACGGGTGTGGGCATGGGGACGATTTTGTACCCTCGACGGGTGTGGGTATTTAAGTGGGAATATTTAGCCATCATAGGTGTGGGTATGGGGCAAGGGAACCCGATGGGTATGCACCCGTTGCCATCTCTAATGGGGATGTACATAATTCAACCTGTTTGAATGCCATCATGCAGCAGGGAATACATGTGGCTGGCACATACTTACATCCATAATTCAAGCTGTTATGATCTGGCTCGCTCTATATTTAAGAGTAAATTGCATCGCCGGTACACGAACTAGAATCACAACTCTGTTGTCCATTGAGGATGCTTGCATGGTCATAGTTATTACAACATCTGTACTGGAAAAGAATAAAAGATTTGGTTCAGTATGGTACCTTGGTAGGATGTTTTTTTCTTTTGCTGATATTCCAGGGAGAATAAAATAGTTCATTCACATTGGTTCTAGGGAACTAAGGATTTGAATATTTGAATCCTGGTTCCTGTCTCGCACCCTTGCCAGATGACGATGAAAAACCAATTTTGCTGGCCCTTTTGTTGTACTAACTTATACATGAAATTGGCAACCTTCAACAGTGACGCTTAAACATTACTGGCTGTTCACTTGTTCATCCGTGAAATCTATATTGCTAAGTTATGTTATGAATTAATTACTATTTAATTCATGTATGGTAGATGCTACTATATACAGAATCTACAATGCTTTTTGGTAGATGTTCATACCATTTTACTACGAAAAATAAAAAAGTGTGACCAAAATTGTCATAAAAGAAGTAGCATTTCAACTCTCCATTTCATTCCACTTCAACACTTCCTGTGTCTAGTTTATACCACATGCTGTAAAGTTGTCAAATTCTTTATTGCCCAACAGATTATTGTTATTCATCAATTATTAAGTTACTTATTTAAGTCAATTTTTTTTGGATCTGGATGGATTGTTCTTTCTACTTGAGAATATTGCCTCTGCTTTGCTGATTATAGTTATAATTGTGTTGTCTAGTTGTTCCAAATAAAGAATGGAAGCCAAAATCAACAAACAAACCAGCCCATGCTGAAAATGTTATATGTGATAAAGTGCCTGTTTCTGTGGAGACTGTTCCCCAGTCGATTCTAGTATCGGATTCCATCCATAAGGAAGATACCACTTCAGGAGTGGAGACAAGGCCAAGTGACATGCGCCTGTCTGACAAGCAGCATGTTATTATTCCTGATCACCTTCAGGTTGCAGAGTCAGAAAAATATGGGCTTAGTTTTGGCAGTTTCGGTGCCTGTTTTGAGCAATCTGCAAGCTTTTCAAAAGACACTGAAAGTGAGAAATGCTCTACACCTCAATGTGAATCGTCTCAGGAGGCAGATGAAGTTCTGGATGAACCTGCTGCAAGGTTTGTGTTCTAGTTAATGCGTTTGACACCAGCAGTCTTATTAAACTCTTTGCTATGTATGCTTGAATTTGACTTCTCTGAGTATCTACCAGCATAATAATTTACTTAGTTTTGGCTCATTGCTCCACCTTCCATGTCCCATATTAGTTAGTTGTGCCTTTTTGGTCTACTGTGTAAATGCCAAAAGGAATCAGTCCGTGTTTTCTTATACATATAATATTTAGGTACTTTTCACAATTTTTGGTGCATAAAAAAAGGTTCCCCTAACGTTGTTTTTAGGTCACATAAAATCCTTGTTGGATATTTTGAGGATATGGATCTAGTGAGGAGTAGGACTTTCCATAAGATAATACTATTACTTCAATGTAACACTTCACCTTAATTCCATGGGGGCTTAGGGGTTTGTTGGCATGTTCCTGTTCAGATTTTTAAGACGTCTGTGTGCTTCATTTTCATTTTCATGTCTTGAAATCACTGCTATAAACGATGCCCCCCTAATCTAGGTACTAGATGTTACCCTCCTCCCTAGTGCTTGTCATTGCTGGCTGCCAAGGTTATTCATGCCTTGCCTGCTAGTTGCTGACTGCGTGCTAAACACCACCCTTCTGCTTTGCCCAGTTTCTCAGTGCCTTCTAACCGCTGCTTGAAATTCAGGTGGGATACGTTGTATGAGTTAGTGCAATCGGGCGTTGCCCATGGACCTCGGTCTAGTGCTTTCTATTTGTATACGTATGGTAACCTTGGGCATGGTTCTCATGTTTACATGTAGCTTAATGGTTGTTAATTAAAGTATTTCTTGCAATTTAATTTATTTTTCACATTATGATTACCTTCTGTATTCAGTTGCATTCATCCTTCATTTTAATTTGGTAACTGTACTGCAGTCATCAGGGTGTGTCCTCAACTGTTGAAATGGCAGCTGAGTCAGATCTGCAGCAGCTGCCTGCTGAAACGGCAGATAATATTTTACCTCAGAAGGTTGATAGTTCCTCAAGTATTCCTGAAGTTGCAGAATCAGACCAATCAAACGATACAATAGCTTCACATGTACCTCAAGATTCAGTTGAAACTACTACACCTTACCCACCACAACAGTCGCATGGAGATCAGATTCCATCACTTGAAACTTCTGAATCTCAGGCACGTCTGGTGCTTATGTGACCCATCATTTTTTCTTTATATATCTCCTGTTCATATGTCAAATGATTTGATTTCTTAGATGTTGGTTTACATTATACAAGCAAAGGAATCTTATTCTGTTCTCTCATAGTCACTGTGTTACGCTGAAATGCTATGCATGATTACATAATTACTTTTTTATACTAGACGTTTTAACAATTCCTCAGCATAAAATTGATTTTGCATCATTTTATATTTCTTTACCCTCTTGCTGAATGCTTTTCCCACATAGTAGGCATTCTAGTTGCCCTAGGAGTTCATTTATTGGATGTTTTGCATTGGTCGAACCATTTATGTTATTTCTACCTGACATGAGCTCCCCAGCTCCTGAATAGAACAATCCTCTGAGCTATTTGTGCTCAATCTGTCTAATTGTTTCATTAAAAAAAAACTTGAGTGACTTCTCATTTTTTTTTTAAAATAACTTAATGACTCTCTGTGCATCTTAACAAGTGATTACACGTACAGGTACAACAGGTCAATGACTCTTCTGCAGGCTATTATACACAATTTTACCGACCACCTGCTGATTTTGATGGCCGTATCTCACCATTTACTGCTTCTGGAGCTGCTATCAAGTACGGAAACTTGTCGGTTATGCCCACACAAACTGGGCATGCCCAAGAGGTTTGTAGATACAGCTTAGCAATTAATTTAAAACTTTATTTATTTATTTATAAATATATAACTTATCTAATGCATATTCACCTGTACCATCTATTTTGTTAACAACTTTTCGTTCTTGTAACAGATTGGTTAAGTACAAATCGCATGCTATTACGTGCTAAAAATTGAAACATGGCTCTCAATCGTGAGAAGATAAATTCTGTTAAAAATGCATTTATTTAATTCTTGAGCACTATAACAGTTGTCGGGAATATGTCTGAAAAGAAAGTGTGGAATAAAGCAAGGAACTATAAAGCTAGTAGCTGAAGAGTTCCCTTAAGCATTTGCATTTAAATAGTTGATGGCACAGGGTCACAAAGTGGTGTATTTATAATATATTTACTCAAGAACTTTAGTACCAATTGGATTAGCACAACCAACCCAAAAGACCTAAAGTCCGTCTCAACGCTTGTACAATGAATCAGTCAAGTCAGTGCTATAAAATGTTATGCACTGTAGAAGGTCATTAAGACAGTTTAACAAGAAATAGAGAAAATCGTTATTGTCCATTCAAAGTTCACTAGTTCTCTTGTATATTATCAAAAAATGTTACTATTCCCTTATGTTTTATCCATCCTTAATTTTGTCCTTATTTGCCACACTCATTTGTTTGCTGTTAGTGTGTTGTCGAAAAGTTTAAGCAAATACCATTTTGTCCTAGGCGCTTAAGGCTGTGTTTGGGAGGCCCCGGCACGCAAAACGAAGCTCATATTATTGCATGATTAATTAAGTATTAACTATTTTTTTTTGAAAAAAGGATTAATATGATTTTTCTAAACAACTTTCATATAGAAAGTTTTTGCATAAATCACACCATTTAGCAGTTTGAAAAGCGTGCGCGCGGAAAACGAGAGAGGTGGGTTGGAAAAATGTAGGAAAGAACACAGCCTAAGTTGATATGGGAAACACTGCGGAAATAGAAAAAGAATGGAAGCCCTTTATTCTGCATTGAGCAGCCAAAAAAAAGAGGGACAGAGAACGGAGTGCTTCTTTCTCTCGTGCTCAACTCTGAGCAGGCTAGGCTGCAGCAACTAAATCTACCACATGCAATGGAAATTCTCATTGCAGGTCACCAAAAATCGAACCTTTCTAGCTTTCCTTTGATTAAGCCACACATGTGGTGGATTGACAGTTTCTTTCCTCTCTCTCTTCCTCGTGATCTGGTCCACTGGTCCTAGGACCCTAACTACTGTCGGTGCTGTTTCCACCTTCTCCATCAATAGCGTTGGTGGGTTCCTGCTCTGCACTTTCCTCTTCACCACCATGGTTCGCTTTTACCCTGACAAAGTTTCGCTGCCGAGCACATGTGCAATGGCGGCAGTGGATCATGTATGTGCAGCTAGCTGAGTTGCCTAGTGCAAAGAAGTGGAAGAAAGGAGGCTGACTGGTGAGGTCCAAGGTCATTTCTGCCATGTCATTGAAATTCTGAGAAACGTACCTCTGATGACGTTTTTCATGGAATGTTAATTTTAGTAGTATACATGGGACTTGACATTTTGTTTGGTGCCATCTAAAGAAATACTCCCTCCGTATTTTAATGTATGACACCGTTGATTTTATAACCAACGTTTGACCACTCGTCTTATTCAAAATTTTTGTACAAATATAAAAATACTTATTTCATGCTTGAAGAACATTTGATGATAAATCAAGTCACAATAAAATAAATTATAATTACATAAATTTTTTGAATAAGACGAAAGGTCAAACGTTTGTCAAAAAGTCAACGGCGTCATACATTAAAATATGGAGGGAGTACTATCTTTGTTTTTTAATAGATGATGCCGTTGACTTTTGGTCACAAGTTTGACCATTTGTCTTACTAAAAAAATTTACGTAATTATAATTTATTTTGTTGTGAATTGGTTAATCACTCAAAGTACTTAAAGCATGATCTATACATTTGCATTAAATTTTTGAATACATGTGTTGAAAAGTCAACGGCATCATCTATTAAAAGACAGAGGGAGTAGTAAGTTTTTGGTGGCACATAAGGGGACTCACATACACTGGATGACAAATGAAGAATTCTCTATGACAGTCTCATCGAAAGTCTCCAAGTTCTGCATTTCTCATCTCAGTCTTTTCACGCTATTTAATTTAGACTGGGTGGAAAGGGTAGGAGGGTTGGATATATGGTAGTTGGGGAATCTTTAAAACCCATCACCATGTCCTAATAACACTTCCATGTTCAATATATATATTTCACGGAATCATACACCCCAATTTGATTCAGATTTCTACACCCGTGTTGCTGTGTTCTGTCTTCTCCATAGACAGTGTAGTGATTCAGAAATAGTTAAAATATTATTAGTGTAAAAATTGGTAATTTTGATGTACGTACCTTGAATCCAATGATTGTGTGATAATAGGAGCATATAATCCCAGATGTATAAATCCTTGCCATGTATTACATCGTGTTAATCTGGTATGCTGGATCTTGAATTTATGCTCTGTCCTGAGTGAAAAAGGTTCAGTGCATTTCCAATGTTGTTTTGTTTATTTTAGGGATATTCGAAGTTCATTTGGTCTGATGCATACTGTTCTTATGCCAGTTGTCCAAGTACCATAGCATAATAACATTGCTGTATAATTATGATTTTACATTTTTGACGTCTGGCAGTAGTTCGTTGCTGAGTAGGCTGATAATTTCTTTGAGGCACTTGCACTCTGCAGTTTAAGTTGTCTTCTGTTATTACATACAATTCAGTTCCTAATTGCTCTGTTTTAGCTGCCACAGGGAATCAACTCCTTCGTGCTGCCTTCAGTTGGGTCTACTCCACTTGCCACCCCAACCCCTGGAGCCGTACCAAATTCTGTTGGTATTCCACAACAGCCACTTCAATTATTCCGCCAGCATTTAGGTGTTTTACCTCAATACCCACCAAATTATTTCCCATACAGTCAGTATCCACTCTATGTTCCACCACAACCCCTTCATTTCATGGTTCCTCAACCCCCTTCAACCGGAGGCATGTATCCACCTGTAAGTGCAGCTGTTGCACCACCAGGTAAATACCCAACCAATACATACAAGCCTGGTGCTAACAATGGAACCCAGACACATGTTGGAAACCATGGTGCATATGGAACATATGATTCTAGTCCGTCAATCTATACAAATAACACTATGGTGGCAAGTGGAACTTCTGTCGAGAGTGATGATATCAGTGGATCCCAATTCAAAGAAACCAATGTCTATATTGCCGGGCAGCAGGTAAATGTTTATATGCATATCTATGAACAGAATGCTGTAAACGGCAGCTTTAAGTTTGGTTTTTTGCGTATTCCCTAGAAAAACAAAATAAAAAATGTTCAGTTTTTTCACGATGATACCTTCATTTTTAATTTTCAAAAATTTCAGATATGTTCTTGTGATCATTTGGATGACTAGGGTTCTCTTCTGATTACTCAGTCGATTAAATTCAGACACATCAGGTTATAGGATGTTTTCTAGCTTCATGCTTTCTTTTTTCCTATGCTACTTGTACTTCCACCATCGTCAATGAAAAATTTCAAATTTAGAAACAGTATAGTCAAAACTGGAAGTCTGTTACTCCTTCTAGCCATTAATTACTGGAGGGAATAACACAATATCTAGTAAGACTTATTTGCATACATATCTGGTAGTCTTATTTATTACTGATTGGATATTTTGATCAGAGCGAAGGCTCCGGTGTCTGGATTCCTGCCCCAGGACGTGATATTTCTGGTCTCCAGCCTAGCAACTATTACGGACTGCCTCTGCAGGGACAGCACCTGGCGTTTGCCCCTGCTCAAGCTGGTCATGGTACTTTTGGAGGGATATATCACCCGGCACAGACAATGGCTGGAGCCGCTGTTCATCCACTACTACAGCCACCTCAGGCCATTGCTGGGGTTGGTGGTGAAATGGTTGGACCACCTGCCAATGGTTATCAGCAGCCACAACGGGCTCAGATGAACTGGCCTAATTATTAACGGAGGTAGTATATTTTTCCGAGTAGCCATCATAGGATGAAAAAGAACAGTTATTTGTTGGATATCTAAGTGTTGGCAAAGGAAGTTTTTTTTGGGCTTTCAGCATAGAGGTGCCTGATCAAGAGTGTATATATCAAGCATGGATGATCTGCAAGGAAATGTTGCAGATTCCCAAATGGTCTAGCGCTTATTTCTGTGGTATTATATGTAGCTGGAACTGACCATTCAGTTAGAGACGAGGGTCCACGCTTGTTCCAATTTTTTTTTTTTGCCCCTTTTTGGCCTTTGCTCCCCTTGGTTTTAAGTTTGCTGCAAGAAAGCGTGGGGTTTCTTCTCCGAGGTTATAGTTACTCTTTGGACATTTAAGTTCATTAAAGTGAGCTGGTGGGATTGCCGTTCTTTCCGCCTCTTTACCTGTAAAGTAAATTTTGGTGCTTCGAGAAACATGTCACTACTGTTGTACTTCGGTGTAATACAAACAGGCCAACCCTAAAGTTGCAGCGAAATCTTTGTTCTTTTCAGAGGGAAACATTTTGTGTACTTGTTCACAGCCCGTTGTTCACGAAATTTTGGTGATAATTTGTTTGCAGTTTACGTAGTAATGTGCACCAAATATAGGTGACATATCTGATGTTTCAGACAAAACTCGTTGCAAGTGAAGCTTTCACTTTGTTCCCGTGGAAATGCAGCGCATAAAAAAGGGAAATTTAACTATTATTAGGTTTGCCAATTATCCAAATACCCTTCTTAGATTTGTCTTTAATTTTTTTTTGCCCCTCTAAGGTGATGGCATCTTTAACTATTTGCCACCCTCTCTTTTCTCTCTCCCTCCAGTCTGGCTAGGCCTAGCCCCGCTGCCCTGGAGGTAGGAGGTGGCGTCGATGGAGAGCTCCTCGAGATGGAGGCAGGAGCGGAGGACGGCCTCGGACGGAGATCTTGTGGAGGTTAGTGGTGCCGGCGGCGAGCGCGGTGATGCCGTCGTCGATGATGAGGCAGTGCCGGAGCGGAGCATGAACGTGGGGTCGGCGACGCTCTTCGCGCGGCGGTCGCACTTGAGGGCGAGAAGGGAAATGGCCGGCAAGCCTAGAGCACGGCCATCTCCGGCGAGGATCCCTGGGAGCACGGCGTGGAACAGGACTAGCCAAAGCACCGGCGTCGCCGTCCCATGGTCCTGCAGCGTCGTACCCATCAACCGTCGAGGATTGATGAAGGGGAGGACGGTGGGACTGGCTAGAGCAGCGCCGGTGGCCGGCGGGGCTTGGCCGGACCAGGGGGAGAGAGAAAAGGGAGAGTTTGTGAGACTGACAGGCGGGTCCCACATTGATATTTACACTGCGTTGCCACGTTGGCATACCACATGGGCAAAAGTGGCAAATAGTTAAGAAGCCATCATCTAAGAGGGGTAAAAAATTAAGAGCAAATCTAAGAGGGGTATTTGGATAATTGGCAGACCTAATAGTGGCAAATAGTTAAATTCCCCAAAAAAAAAAAAAGATCGTGTGCCCAATCTGTCCAAAAGAGCAAGGCGCACGTTGTGAAATCTAAATTTCCTGATTAAATATGGTGCAAAACGCAGCAGAATCCAAACTGGAATTCTCTCGTTCCATTTTGATTTGATAAATATTCTACAGCGGTGAAATTAGTAAATTCCTTGAAATGAGAAAGGATTGGAGATTTTTGTAATACGCCCTCAGATGAATATTACTTGCCGTTTCCAATAAGCAAACTGCACCAAGTGCAGGCCAGGCCAATTTCAGCTGTTCGAAACGGCACGTATTTCCATCCAAACCCTCCAAGACATACGTCTATATTTTATTTTTGGGAAAATTGCAAAAACAATCCCAAATATCACTCTAGGTTTGAGATGCCCCCCTATAAGAAGATTTGTTGCAAATCCCCACCTCCTAATTCACCTTGGTTTGATTTAGGCACATTCTCTCCACATGCGCGTGATTCCTAAAAAATCTCGTGGCAAAATCAACAGAGTCCCACTCACCGTGATGATTTGTCAACATGTCCCTTTTGCATTAGACTGTGTGGCCTTAATTTCTGATTAAACTATATTGAAACCTGCTATTTTGGGTCATCTGACCAATTGCAACAGATGAAATCATGCAGTTCTAATCTGGCTATATGATTACCGCTTCATGTTCAAATATTTCTATATGCTCATTACGTCCCTGAAAAAAAGGGATATGTTGTTCAGTACACATGATATCGGTTTGGAATATATAGCTAGTATACCATGAAAAACACAGTGAAATGGTCATGATAACACAACGAAATGATCGCCTTATACAGAACAAACAGCATAGTCTCTTGCTCCCGCCGAGTGGGACTCGGTTGATTTCGCCACGAGATTCTTCAGGAATCACGCACGTGTGGAGAGGAGGTGCCTAAATCAAACCAAGGTGAATTAGGAGGTGGGGATTTGTAACAAATTTTCTTATGGGGAGGCATCTCAAACTCAGAGTGACATTTGGGGTGGTTTTTGTAATTTTCCCTTTATTTTTTGGGTATGGTGTATTTTGAACAACGTTGTCATGGGCACTAGTGGTCACGTCAGATTAGTAACGATTTAATAACTTTTTTCATGATGCGCAAATTATGGTGGTGACCAAACAATTTATAAAGCAAATCACCTAAGAGTACCCTCATCTCATCTCATCTCATCTAATGAACGAAGAATGTTTATTCCTTTCCGCAGTGAGCCACGTATACACCTTTAGCATGAGCCTTTGGATTCAGGGGGAACGGTTGGATTGATCGGATTGATAGAGATCAGAAGAAGAGTCCACAGACTTCCATTCTGGAGAGATCAATTAGGAAAGACATACATGTCACTTATAAACACTGCCTCCGTTTCAAGTTATAATACATTTTAACTTTGATCGAAGTCAAACTATTTTAAGTTTAACTAAGTTTATAGACAATATAGTAAGGTAAAATTTGCTACAGGACATCCAAAAAACTTGTAATTAGCTGGTGGACATCGTAAAAACACGAATTTGCTGTCGGGCACCACAAAAACTAGTAATTAGCTCTCGGACACTCACAGCCTTATTTTATTATTTTCAAAGAAAACGGAGAGAGAAACAATCGAAAAAGATCATATTGCCCTATATGGGCCAAAGATGTCAGCCTGTCCACTATTTTCTTTTCTTGTCCTCTTCCTGCCTATGCTTCCTCGCCGCTGCTGCCTGGCACCAGATTGCCGCGTCCATGGAGCTCGTCAAGGATCTCGCCGGCATCTGGGGCCCCGGCGATGGCCTGAACCTGTCGACAGCGTTGCTGCTCTCCGCGCTACGTGCCGAGCTCGACCTAGCGCGCGCCCACGCGCGGCAGCTCACCAAGGAGGACCGGAATACTTGGGCTTGCCGCGGAGTCCACGGCCGATTTGGGCGCGCGCGGTCCAGCTGGCACTCGTACACGCTTGGGACGGCCGATTCGACCAAGCGCTCGCCGATGTCGCGCGGCTGGTCGCGGACAGACCTGGCGACCCCGACCCGCGGATCACCGGCGCCGAGCTGTGCTTCCTGCACGGCCGGAATGGGACTGCGACCGAGTGGCTCAACAGCCTCCCTAAGGACGCCGACGGATGGAGGCTGGCATTCGAGGTCGTGTTCGCCATGCCCGGGTCCTCGCCGCCGTCGACAGGATGGTCATGATTGTAGCGACCAAGTTCGCCGAGGCAGTGCTCGTCATGAATTTTGAGGAAGGTGTGTGGCCCGTCATGGACAAGCTCGCCATTTCGTTGCTGCTCACCGTGCTACGCCGCTTCGTGTCCAAGTACTGCCGCTTCCGTACGAGTGCTTTTGGTCGATGCCGCCGCCTCCTCCTCCGTACCAGCAGTTGGTGATCCCCGTGGAATGCTCCCAAGCGATGCTCGCCTCGCTGCTCCGAGCGCGGCCGCTCTGCGGCGAGCGACTCCGAGAGGCGCGCGCCACCGCCGAGCACGCCCTTGCCGACGCCAAGGCGGAGGGCGACGACCTCGCGGCGGTCGACGTCAACCTCGTCCTCACCTTCCTCGCCGCCCGAGATGGGGACCTCGACGACGCACTACGGCGGTACAAGGCGGCCGTGCAGAAAGACCCGTCGGATTCTCGGCCGTACGAGCTGGTGGTTGCGGCGGCGCTCGGCTCCGGGACGCTGACGACCCTCGGCCTCGAGCGTGGGGGACGAGGGCGCCTCGTCTTGGTTGCCCCGTGGAGGGAGGTGGACGCAAGGCTCACGGCGGCGGTGCTGGACGACGACCTCGACCTGACATTGCCAGAGCGCGTGCAGCTCCGCCTGCTGCATCATCGTCGACCCGATGGATTGTGGCGAAGCAGCACAGGGGTAGGATAGTACTCTCTCCAATTCCTCTAAAAATAATAAATTAATATCACGAGTGTCCAAGAGCTAATTACCAGTATTTTGTGGTGCCCGACAGCAAATTCGCGTTTTTGCGGTGTCCACCGGCAAATTACAGGTTTTTTGGATGTCCTGTGGCAAATTTTGCCATATAGTAATATTTATAGTACTAAATTAGTTTCATCAAATTAATAATTGAATATATTTTCATAACAAATTTGTCTTGGGTTGAAAATGTTACTACTTTTCTCTACAAACTTGATCAAAGTTAAAACAGTTTGACTTTAACTATAGTCAAAATGTCTTATAATTTGAAACGGAGGGAGTAATAATTATCAGGTAACTTTGGCTAGGGAAAGGAAAAACCACATCGCTAACCCAAGAGCGAACTATATACCTAACGGTCTATTAGGGTAAAATATATACATATGTATCGCTAATAGCCAATGCTAAAAACGAACTACGTTAAAAATATTTAAAAAACATCTGCAAAATTAAGTTTTAAAATTTAAATTTTTGCAGAATGATAAGGCTGAAAGAAAAATAACAATTGAAATAAGAGCTGCTAAATGACAAAGGAAAGAGCAACTATAATAACCCAAAATGCCTCATTGTATTCTTTGCTCACCTAGCAGCATTTAAATACCTTTCATATACCATGTAACAATATCTTAATTCCTAACATTATCATAGCCTATAGCTCCTATGTCGTTTAGTACGGAATACCCGACAAACATCAGTTTTCGGCAAAACTTAAATTATACCAATAATAGTTGCAATTACCCAGTTAAATTTTAACATATCTATATACTTAATAAAAAATACGTAGGGGTTCCATTGTTCTTTTCATCCATCGTCTATCGCACACGGAATCAAATTCGGTGATCAGTTTTTTTTGGTAATCGTATCGATTTCCTAATCTGCAAAACTAGACCCACCATTCAAGCCAAAATAGACATTGTAATCAGTTTTTTTTAATCAAATCTATTTCCTAATATGGAAAACCAGATTTTCCCACTGGTTCAGTTTGCACGGTCTGCAACACCAGGCAATAGATACAGTCCAAATATTTCAAATATTTTGTTGGAGTCATGAACATATTAGGAATTACACGACCGACTAGAATTTTTAACATTTATAATTATTATAAATGATACTTAACAATGAAAAAAAAAGTCATAGTCGTGCGAATGCACGACTCAATTGGCTAGTTTGTGTGAAAAACATAGAGATTTTCTAGGATTTCAATCCGAATGGATTTTTTTCTAAATGATTTTACATTACTGGTTCTATGAAATTCCTATGAAATGTTGTAATCCATACAATCTTTAAAGGAAATTTAACATCATGTAAATTTTCCTTCAAGTCTCTCTCTCCAAAGTCCTGCATTTTTCGTACAGTCCAACCAAATGGTTTGTTATACGTAGGTTTTTAGGGTAAACACAACCAAGAAGTGTCGTACGGTTCAATCAAATGGCCTGTTATTTGTACGGTTTTATTAAGGTAAACATTGACAAAAAGACAGGTGAGCCGCTTCAGGTTGGGGAAGAGAACTTGAGGAGAGATTATAGGTTGGGGAAGAAAACTTGAGGGAGATTAATTCTAATTATTTATTTTGTTAACCCCAATAACTAATACTCCCTCCGTCCCAAAATATAAGGGATTTTGGTTGGATAGACTCTATCCATATTCGTAGTACTAGAATGTGTTACATTCAACCAAAATCTCTTATATTTTGGGACAATGGGAGTTCTAGGCATATCTCTTCAAGTGAAAAGTAAATCCCATGATGATCCTAGAATGAGCCACATCATTAGGTGAATAAGAACCATCGGATGCAATAGAAATTTAATATGTACCATTGGATCTAGTGTTAGGCACGTAAAAGAGGACCGAAATTTAATATGTACCATTCTGTGGAAAAAGAAAACGGACAAGAAAAGTTAAATTTACGTACCAAACTTTATATTAGTTAGTAATATTTCTAAAGAGAGAAAAAGAAAAACTATTCTTATTTTGCAAAATAAAAATCTGACTTATTAAGAAATCACAAATCAAATTCCACCATGTTAAAATTTAACAAACGTATCGCTCTAAACATCAATGCTATTCAGACATGTAAATAAAAATTTTGCTAAAACATATGCACTACTCCCTCCGTCCCAAAATATAAGCATTTTTAGATCTCGACACAGTCTTCGAGATGCTACTTTGACTAACAACAAGTATAAAAATAAGATGTTTTAAATAAAAAAAGTTGCATATTATAATAGTTTATTTAACAATAAATCTAGTAAGATATGAAGAACACAATATAATTCAATATAACCTAACAATCTGAGCTACCATATCACTTACTAGGAGAGAGGGTACCATTCCTTCTACCAGTACTGGGCTATCCTCGGGCCATGGCCTCTTAGCCTAATATCCATTACATGGTTATTCCTGTATTTTTTCTGTATTTTATAGTTCTATGTTTTACACTTGCATTCCTATTACAATTATATGTTTCTTTTATTTGTACATTTTCTCTATCATGCGCCTTTTCAATTGTTTCAAAGGAGCTCTAAATTGATATTTATTTTGTGGCTATAAGAAACTCGCTCTAAAAGAAACAAGTGACGTATGTAAACTGAGTTTCACGCTCACGCCTGATTTGCATGTTATATTTCTGTCAGATGGGGCTGTTCCTTTTATTTTTGAGTTAATTTTAGAAAACCACATGCTCCAAGTGAATGAGGTTGTTATGAAACCACACCCTTATTTAAATCGTAATTGATTTATTCATATCTGACACATTATTTTTTGAAAGTAGTGAGTTAAACCAAATAACCTCAGTGAAGAAATAAACAATTAAAATATATATATATACTATATTTTAAAATTTTAAGTAAATATGTGCTCAACAGGGATATGGTTTGAAATTTGAGCCCACTACCAGGAGGGGAGTCTCTACCGAGTGCAACAATATGTTGCGTAGTGCCACAGGTAGCACTCCGTAAGTTACGGAGTGTTTGTTTTGAACACCCGGTAATTTGATATGTTACGGAGGGTCCAACTGCTACACCAGGGAACACTACGGAGCAATGGATTGCTACACTATGGAACTTTGGGCCCCACCCATCCCAACGGAAATTTTCTTAGGTGTGAACGGGATTTGCTGTACTGGGAACAGGAAAAATATGGTGGATGCAACGGCACGTAACAATTACCGTGTGTAAAAGTAGATGACACACGGTAATCCCAACTGTGTAACAGAACAGTCAAGCGTTGGCCCACCTGTCAATGCTAGGTGAAAAATATATGGCTGCATTTGAATTTATTTCTATCCCTTTTTCTGTTTATTTATTGTATAGTCTTTTTGCCGAGAAGCATCTCACTAACTACTCGTTTCTACTTTCAATCCATTTAATGTGGAAGGAGTACGAACAAACTTTAAATTTATAAATTACTTTATAGAAAATAAAATTAATACTCCATTCCAAGAATGTTTTTATGTCTACTAATTATGAGTCCATGTCAGTTACATGTACTTGTGAATTTTAAAATTTTAAATCATGAGCTATTGGAACATGAAATGCAGCACACTTAATATTTATTAATTCCTAATTTTAGGATTAGCTAATAACAGGACTAAAATTAAGAGTCCATGATAAGTACAAGTTTATATTTATTAGTTGTAAGTTCTAGAATTATTATTAGTAAATAGTAACATCTTTCTACCAATACTATACGAGGATACATGCCAATGTTATAATGGAGTAATTACTACTTCATCCGTTTTAAACCTTTTTAAGTTTGATCAAAATTGTAGAAAAATTACTAATATTTTCAAAAAAGAAATTATATTATCATAATATATTCAATATTAGATTTAATGAAACTAATTTGGTGTTGTAAATTGTTGCTAATTTTTCTATAAACTTCAGCAAACCTAAAGAACTTTGACTAAAAAAGTATAATTATTTATATTATTTATTTCAAAATGATAATAAACTATTTTTAAAATAAAATTTATTCTGCCCATACCTTAAATAAGCTACAACCAATTATTATAGATATTTCCGTACCATTGCTAATGAATCCAATCCAACGGGGACACCACCACAAAAGCACTGCGCCAGCATGATACCTTTAATGTGATTCTTTTAACAAGGTCACAACATTTAGAATGTTATTGTTGATATTCTAGACATTCAGTATAAGGTTTTCATCCAGAGTGAGAGATGTGCAACGCGATATCTCATCCAGGATGTTGTGAGGCGTTCTTAGACATCGCCAGTGTCGATACTCCAGTGGCAACCGACTTTCCATGTCAGTGATGGCGACAACCAACTGGATCTTCAAAAATGGATCGGAGGCTAAAAATGGCCTTGCATTTACCGCCACCACTAGATTTAGCCGGGGGTCAACTCTTGTCATCAATGGAGAAGACCGTTGTCACCACGTCCGCAACTATTCTCCTGCCATCAGTGCACTAGGCTCGGCCATATCCATCGGCTGGTCCAAGCACAATCCATCCGCCCAATGCCTCCGCACCTGGCCACCATCATCCTCCTGCTCCGGTGCCACCCACCACCGGCTCTTTCTCGAATAGTGTAGCCAAGTAAATGCAAGATATCTTTAAAATTAAATAAGATATTGTGACAAGCCCCTGGTCCAAGGTTCACAAAATATAGAGGCCAACACATGCATATTTTGAATTTGAAATTATCAAATTATACCAAATTGTACCTTGCATTTGAATAACACGAATGTCTATTGATATTTGAAAACCTAGGCACACTAGGTCACCAATAAGGATGATATTCAGATAAGGAAATACTAGATTTTTGTTTTTCTATTACAAAATATTTTTAAAAAATAAATTAAAAATCTTGCTGCAATGGCATGACCAAGTTTTTTTTTTTTGCTTCATGCCGTTACCCAAATTATTATGTGCTTCAATAGTCATTAGTCAATAGGGAAGCGCCAAATGAAATTGTTGGCGCGGTCTAAAATTTTGGCCAAGCGCCAAGAGAAATTGAAAAAACCTTATGTACCCAGAACAAGCACCAGCACAAGTGCACAACACACCACTTCTCTCTCCTCTCACCGGGAAAAATGAAATCCCTAATCCTAGAGACTTTCCAGTCTCTACTCTCACCTCTCCTCTCCAGATTACTCTTGCCCTCTCCTCTCCTCGATCCTACCAGCGGCGCGGCGGCACCACAGGATGAGGCGATGCGACGGAGGGGCTCGGTTGGCGGCGGCACCACATGGAGGTGAGGTGACGGAGGGCCACTAGTCGATTGGTTGGCGGTGGTGATGTCAAGTGCCACTGGATCCGGCCGCCATGGGCTCGGTGGTCGCCAGATCTGGCCGCCCTGAGCTCGGGGGCAGCCGGATCCGGCCGCCACAAGCTCGGGTACGGCGGACCTGCGCGGGGAGTAGCTGCGACGGTGGGCCTCCCACCGCAAGCTGGTGGGTTTTTGAGCTGGCACGACGAGGTCAGAAATTGTCTTTGGTTTGTGAACTTGTGATGATTAGTGATTACACAATACGCGCATCACATAAACCTATCAGGTTTTTTTCCAGTCACTAACTCCCCATTGTTGTTTACTGCACATCTATAAGGTATGCCTTTTCCTTTGTTGGTGTCCAGGTTCCCACAACTGCACATGCATGATGCGCAGATCAAACTGAACGGAATGGAATGACGTTGCAATGTGCATAGGTGAGCGGTGAGCCTGCTGCTCAATCTGTAGTTTAGAAGAAGCAAAATGGAAGATGATTTTACATCTGGATTGTTTAGTGTAGTCTAGATGAACATCCCAATTTGTTGGATGTAAAGCAAGCTACATTGCAGTGGACAAAGAACCATTTCTTAGGTTCAGGTTTGCACTTTGCATAAATCCCGGGCTGTTCTTGACATCAAGTAAACATGATAGTTGAATTCTGAAGGCATGCATCCCAACTTATGTTCCCATGTAAACGAATACGGAATTATGTTTCATGCTTCCCAACTTATAATGGACTTTTCCCCTATATTCACAGGTGCAAGTAAAGCTATCATGGGCTATGTCAAATTGATGTGTGATAACTGGTGAAACCTTCGGCTTCCACTCTCCCTATACTACATTGCTCCTTTGTCCGTGCAATGTGTAAAATTAAAATGCGACTAAGAAATAAGAGCACATGTACGGGCAATCACTCTGTTGTTAATGATCAGTACAGTTGTAGGGAGTAGGGTCATTCTCCATGTGTGCTATAGCTTTAGGGAGTATGTGTGTGAATTTCAAATAAAAATCAGTCATCACCATTTCGTCTTGTTTGTCTTTGCTTGTGATGGTATATGTATGACCAATTTTCCTGTTTATTGGTTCTTGCAGGTGTACTATCATCATGCTAGTGACTGTCTGACAGACCTATTCCCCAGTTAGCAGTTTTCCTGACTGGGGTTTGCTCTATGTAGGCTTGCAATGTGCATGCTCTCGAAGTACTGGAAGTCTTCAGTTCCTTTTCTGAAGGACACCAGCGACATCAGTGAACAAGCAGTGGCATCCTCACTAATTCTTCCATGCTGATCAGCAAATCCAAGGTGCTAATATGATATTATATTTTTCTATCCATCTTTATAGGAAACAAATTGTTGTCCTAATAGTTTATTGCAACCACATGCATGGGACTGTTTGTTAATTAGTGTAGTCAAATTACTTTACAATGGACTTTAAATGTTCAGTCTACTCTAAGTCGATAGCTATAGCGATTAAGAAATACTTGACATGATGTGGTAGCTCATTGGTATATTTATTTGTTTGCTTTTGCCATGATTTTTGATTTGTACATTGCAGGTTATTATACTTTCATTTCTATTGATCTGTTACACACCATGATGTGGACTGAATATTTTGTTTGTGAACTATATTGGTAGGCACTACTATGCCTTGGATCTTTGTTGTTACCTGTACATGTTTTCAGACAGATAGGCATCAGTTCCAGTTACATGCACCTTTTTATTTCTTCATACCTTGTGCTGGCCATATGGTCCATATGAAGCATTAAGTGTTATTTGATTATAAGTTATTGTAAAGGTCTTTAATTTGTGCCTTCTAGACTTCTGTTGCCTTCTTGCATGCTAGTATCTGGGTTGAGCACTCATAGTCATGGAGTGGATCAATGAGCCACTGCATATTGAATCCGTAACATCCTAGTTGATACGAATGATGTTGATATTTATGTAACTTTGAATGCTGTCCAGGAAAAATAAACATTGGAATATTTAGTTAAGACTTGAGTTGTCAACTGCTTCCAATCAGGGGCGACGCCAAGTTAAGCTAGCCGAGTGCACAGGCACCAGGGAAAAATCTAATTTTTAGTTATTAGGATCTAATCTCCACCTTTTGTGCACTCCCTAGAAAAAAATATGTGCACCACCTTCAGCTGCCTTAGAAGGCTGCAGGCAGCCCATGAAGGCCCAATTTCAAATATTAAATCATCTAATTAGCACTTTTTGACAGCTTATTATCGTCTCATCAAGGACTCAGCTTAATTATGTTATTTGCTCATTGCTATGTAGACATGTACTACCAGATTTTTCATTTTGGTAAGCATTTTTTGTCACTGTATATGTTACATTTACATTTATATTACATGCATAAATGAAGTGTGCACTCGGGTCCTCCGTGCTCTAGATTCGCCCCTGCTTCCAATTGTCTAGACTTTGGCAGGTATAACTCTATCATATTCTGCCCTACTTTCAGTGCTCTGAAATTCTGAATTTCAAGTGTGAAACCAGTCCTCTTTTTATTTTGCAGAAAAGGTGGTCATGGTCTTGAGAAAGGCCAGGCTTTGTTCTGAACTTAGAGATGAGTGAGCTGCAAACCAGTTTTTTTTCCTGAGATAGTGTTACATGCTTGTATCAATATTTGAAGTGTAGAGATTGAGCCAGAGTCAGAATTCTATATAGCTAGTTTAGGTTTTCTGAACTTTGATGCTTGAAACGTGCTGTATATTGCTCCATTGACAATGTATGGCTGTGAATTAATTGAAGCTCTCCTGGGAATTGTTGCATGTGTGATTAACTTTCTTGATGAGTTCAGTAGTGCTCTGGATGGCATTCTTTCATTCAGACAAAATTAGCGCAAATCAATTGGCAAATGCGTATTTGAATCCAGGGCATACAATGGTTACCGAGTGAAGAAACACCCTGTAAACTGTACCATCCCACACACGGTAGTTTACCGTGCGGTAGCGTACAGCTACACTCCGTAAAGAGAGAAATCTTGCCGAGCGTTCTGGCTCTAAGCAATTACCACCGTTACCGTTCTGCACTCCTGTTACTGTCCGTTGTGCTCTCTGTTCTGTAGGACGGGGAAGTGGAAATGTTCCCGAGTTTTGGGTTGACACACCGGAATTTTGGAGATGTTGCGGAGCGTTTGGTTGCCGAACGCACGGTAAAGGTGCACGGGAATCTCGCATCTCTCCCGGGTGAAGATTGCCGAGCAGGCCACTCTGGAAAGCATCTTCCCTAGTGTTTTTTGGATGTTCCCTGGTGTTTTCGGCACTAGGGAGAGAATCCCTCTCCAGTAGGCCTGATACATGTGGCTCGGGTTACTGATATTATAAGACACCCGTCATGGTTTATACAACTGTGACCATTAAACATGGGTTACTAAAATTTATACTCTTTATCTCTTTACATCCAGAGGCAACATTCCACCGTGTTACGGATCTACGGTGTTAGCATATGCAGACTGTAGGTGTATGTAGAAAATGTATGTTTGAACTTTGAAGGAGCACACACAAAGGTGGCAAAAGGATAGGTAAAGTGTTACCATTGGCTAATGTTACAACTAGGTTTCGGTCGCAAGAATTTGCTGAAATTCACGTAGAATCTTAGATCGAAGTAAATAAACACAATTCTCATGATGAAGATAATATCAGTTATAAAAATAAAATCAAAGGTACAAAATTATTTAACACCAAATTTTAAAACCCAAAATTTATTTTTTTAAAAATGAGTTTGAATCAAATTCGATGAAATTTTAAGGGCAATTTCAGCTCTCCATGTAAATTCGTACAAATTTTGTTGAAGTTGATTAGTGCGCAATAGAAGATGGGGTTAGCCAATACTCCAAATGTCTAAAATGAACTAACTTCTAGAAATGAAATAAATTTAAACAATCATGTGCACATATTTTTGTACATTTACACACAGAAAAAACCTTTTAATCAGTAAGAGCTTATTCAGTTTGAAGGATTTTCAAAGGAATTTTGTACAAATTAAAAACTTATTTTTTTCCTATATGCATAATTCATTTCATAGGAATAGTTCCTACCAAATTCCTAAGGATTGTAGTCTTACAATTTTATTTCATAGGATTCTTAATATATATGAAGTATTGAGGTGAGACCTCTTGAAAAATTCCTAAGGATTGAAGTGTATGTGATATGCTAACCTTTTACTTTTTTCTAATCTTATGATTTAGAAACCCTGTGAACCGAATAAGTACAAAGTAATATAACAACCCGCTCTTTCAAAGCTTATGAAGTCGTGCATTTGCACGACTCTAACCGTGTTGTTATGTGCTTTGTATACTTTTAAATGACATATACACTCGAATTGAAAATAGTATTAATTAATTGCCTTATTTACTGTAATTGAAAAATATATTACTCCAATGAATAAAGTTGGTAGGTCATGTTTCACCTTTTATGCTTTACATTTAAAAAGAATATAGGAGATGACTTGCTTTACTATGATCCTTCAGTATAATTACGCTTCTTGCTAAAAAGAAGGGGTTATGAACGCATCACGTAAGACTATCACTACTCTATTTCCAAAACAGCCGCACTATATCTGGTCATTCTTTGATGCCCATCGTCACCACTGTCGTACTTCACATGATCAAGTCCCAATTCCCAAAGTCTGAAGCCACCCTTTCCCTCTTTAATCCACTCTGGCTTTGCTGTGTTCGTTGTCTGAATCATTGACATACATATTATGAACTAAAAAATTTACAAATAATTAGCTTTGGAGGAGCAGAAAAAGTAGTTCTCTTCCAACTAATTTAGCTTTATATCAGCACAAACGACAAGTCAAATTTTGTGTAGAAAATGCTTTAGTTTCATATACATGCAACTTTAATGCAAGCCGAACCATCTCTAATGAAAGTTTTTCTCCTAATTTTCTTTCAGTAACCAAATAAGGATAATTGTGTGTGTTTTTCATACCTTGCTTCATTCAGTTTAGTTTCCAATCCTTTTTTTAGATGTTATACAGGCAAAAATAAATAAATAAATAAATCAGTAATTGAGCTACTGCTCTTGATGTTTTCAAGTTCACTGAAAGAAAAGAAAAGGTAAATTCAGTTGAACATTTGCAAGCACCAAGGAGCTACAGGATTTAAAAATATGATCTACCTTATCATCTCACTAATTTGGATGACTTGATACCCACGATATGTGCTGCCAGTTTCAAACTTTGCTTAATCTCATACAAATTTAACTAAAATATATTCAGTGAGAATCTTCAGGATTCATTTCAGCTTGTTTGTTTGGGATAAAGACATTGAGGTGGCTACGTAATATGTGCAGATATAGCAGATTCCATATAAAATTCTAGGCAAATTAGTTCTTATAAGATAATAATACTGTTCAATCCTAATAAATATGTTATCTGAATGGATGTAATCAGCTACTCTTTATCAATATTGTCACGTGCATTTTCCACAGCGGTGAGAGCCCCACTGTCATTTTGTACCGTCTATTTTCTCACATTCAACCAAATATATAGTTGAAACTTAAAAAATAATGGTATCACAAAGTAATAAAATTTAGTAAAACAGCCATACTATGGAAGTTCCCGTTAAAATTATGCTCTTGCTATTGCCTAATTGAGAGTAATAGTAAAGTAATGAGTTTTTTCCCCAAATCCTGTAATGTACTACTCTAAAGAACATGTGTACATTCTGCTGTAATTCACAACTACACTATTAAGGCAACCGAGGTAGTAACTTCAAGGTTTAGACCAGCTGTATCAATCACTATATATTCATTTTGAATGTCAGGACTAAAATCTCGTATAGATGCAAGAGGCTTCTTTTATACTACTCTATTTCAGATTTTCAGTACACAAAATCAACTTGAGTGTTTTCCTATTAGGTTATTATTCTAAGAAACTGTTGAAACTGCCATGAATAATTCATTTTGCATTAACATTGGTGTAGTACATGTTATCATTCCCATTAGTGAAATTTTGTACTTTTTAAAGATTTTAAACTGGCTGGAAATTAGAATGTCAACGATGTGTCGTATATATAAAAACGGATGCAGTTATGCAGTTCAGTATACTCGACCCTAAAATTGAAATTGATTGAATATGTCCCCTTACCTTTATCTATGAACACAAGTCAAAACTGGTGTTCCAACCATATGCACTTATTCCTTGGTTTCTTTAAGAAACCCTCTTGCATAGTAACCATTTGGATGAGAAGGCATTACCTGCATCTGAAAGCAACGCCGTTGATGTCGATGAGGAGAGAGGCAGGCGGCATAAGCAAGATGAGATGGTTGCGATTGGGATGGGGAGAAGGCAGCGCCGGTGCTTGGGGACGATGAATTAATGAGGTAATACTGTTTAGTTGATATGGATTTATTTATTTAATTTTGCCAACATAATCATAGTTTTTGTTGCAAGATTTTTCTTGTTGTATCGCATTCTACTTTACCTAGCCTATGATGTCGCCCATTCGCGCGACTCTAGGCCTTCTATTATGTGGTATGTGGGAGTGGTAATCTTTTCTATGGGCATACCAACTGAAATATGAACAAAAGTACGACGCATATATTATTTTTTTTCTGTGCAAAGTAGTCGATGTGTTCCAAGGAGAAAACTACTCCATCCATAACAATCGTTGACAATCACTTTCTACAAATTAAACACCACATGATAATAATTATAATAAATATCTTTCTCACGGTGTATGTTAAAATTTAAAACTTACTATTAAGAATTTTTCTAATTGATAGTTAAAAGATATAACTGTGACTTATGCTGGTTCGGATGGAGGGGTTGTAATCTTTCCCTCCTACATGTAAAACGGGATGACTCATTAGCGCATGATTTATTAAGTATTAGAAAAAGAACTTAAAAAATAGATTAATATGTTTTTTAAGAATTTTTTTAGATATTCTTTTAAAAACGCAATGTAATAGTCCGTGAAACGTGTTAACGAAAAATAGACTAAAATCTCGTATAGAGATGCAAGAGGCTTCTTTTATACTCCCTCCGTTTTTTAATAGATGACGCCGTTGACTTTTTCTTACATGTTTGACCATTCGTCTTATTCAAAAATTTTATGCAAATGTATAAGATATAAATCACACTTAAAATACTATGAATGATAAAACAACTCATACCAAAATAAATTTTAATTACGTAATTTTTTTGAATAAGACGAAGGGTCAAACATGTGAGAAAAAGTCAACGGCGTCATCTATTAAAAAACGGAGGTAGTACTACTCTATTTCGGAACACAAAATCAACTTGAGTGTTTTCCTATTAGGTTATTATTCTAAGAAACTGTTGAAACTGCGATGAATAATTCATTTTGCATTAGCATTGGTGTAGTACATGTTATCATTCCCATTAGTGAATTGTACTTTTCGAAGATTTTAAACTGGCTGGAAATTAGAATGTCAACGATGTGTGGTATATATAAAAACGGATGCAGTTATGCACTTCAGTATACTCAACCCTAAAATTGAAATTGATTGAATATATCCCCTTACCTTTATCTATGAACACAAGTCAAAACTGGTGTTCCAACAATATGCACTTATTCCTCAGTTTCTTTAAGAAACCCTCTTGCATAGTAACCATTTGGATGAGAAGGCATAACCTGCATCTGAAAGCAACGCCGTTGATGTCGATGAGGAGAGAGGCAGGCGGCATAAGTAAGATGAGATGGTTGTGATTGGAATGGGGAGAAGGCAGCGCCGGTGCTTGGGGGCGATGAATTGTTGAGGTAATACTGTTTAGTTGGTAGGGATTTATTTATTTAATTTTGCCAACATAATC